TGCAGTGGCGGATATCATAAGTGACAGCATTGCTCGCGTCAGGAAATAAATTTTCTGACAGAAAATACTATAAAACCGACAGGATATATATTTATTTATTATAATTTATGTCGCATAAAACCGACAGAAAATACTAAAACCGCCAGGAATTCTGTCGGATATAACCGACAGAGAATTTATTATAAAATATATAAAATCATTCTTGTCGGATAAAACCGACAGAAAGTATATTAATAAAAAAAAATCTGCGTTCACCATCCAAAACCTCGTCGGAGCTCGAGCTCGAACTCGAACTCGAAAACATCAGATCCCTCAACAACTTGAACAAACAGCCAAAAACCCAAGAAAACACACACAAAAGCTGAGAGAGAGTAGTAGATTTCATGGAGCTCGAGCTCGAGCTCGAACTCGAAAATAATATGTCGTGGCCTTTTGCTCTCTACCACTGGTTGAGCAAGATTGGATGGAGCCGAAGCTACAAAAGGTTCTATATCCCAAGGAGAACTGCAGCATGCTCGAGCTCGAACTCAAAAATAATATGTCGAGGCCTTTGAACTGCAGCATGCTCATCCCATTGAACCTGCAAGAAATACAACTAAAGATAAGTAGATGAACAGGAAGAAATAAAACAGCATTTGATCTGTAACTTGTTAGCATCTTAACCTTCAACGATCACCATTTAGATTCAGTCCACTGAGGACATAAATCCCCAACCTCAACTATTGTGCCTGTGAACCTGAGTAATATGAAAGACACAGAGAGAGAGAGAGAGAGAGAGATAGCTAAAGCTAGGGTTCGAACTAGAAGTAAATGAGGAGAGGAGAGAAGAGAAGAAGAAGGAAATGCGGAGAGGAGAAAATAGGGAAGGGAGAAGCACCGACGGCAGGGAGAGATGGAGGGGGGGTTATAATGTGGAAATGCTTCATTACTGTCGGTTAAAACCGACAGAAATCTTTTTAATAAAAACCGACAAAATTTTTTTAATAAAAACCGACAGAAACTTTCATTAATGTCGGCTATAACCGACAGAAACAAAATGGCGGCAAAAATTTTAAACTTTCCCCCAAATTTTAAAATTTTAAACTTTCCCCGAAATTTTAAATTCCCCCCCCCCAAATTTTGTTACAATTTAAAAAAATAAAATAATAATTGTTTGGTTTAATAAATAAATAAATAATATGTATTTAAATAGAATATGTTTTTAAAAATTAAATAAATAATTCTTTGGTTTAATAGATAATTTTTACATTTTTGGTTTAATAGATAATAATCCATGTAAAATATGCGATAAATAAACAAAAAGAGAATTGTACAATGAAAATGTCTTCACACGAACTAAATATTGTCTAATCAATACTTGAAAAACATAAATAAAAATTTAGCACATATTACTTTTCCCACTTCAATTTAGCACAAATTTAGCACAAAATTTTGGCAAATTTATGCATTCTACGAAATTAGTTTCCATGATCTAACCGTCAAACTTGTTTGTAGATACTACAAGATCGCATATGTAAAAAATCGTAAAAAACAAACATTCAAAGATTACGTAACGGAACAAAAGTTTTCGACGGTTATAAACGAAAATTCACAATTTAACGGTTATTTTAGCTTCGATTTTAATGATTTTTTACAACTACACTCTTCGATCCTATAAGAATGTAATGAATGAATTTGATCTTCAATTTAAAATATTTACACTAGTGGATACCACAAAATCTTATTTTATTCTTAATGGAAGTATAACATTAACTCTAAGTGTTTGTTTAATCTACTGTTTTGATGTGATACGCATTCTAAGAAGCTTTTTTCAACGATCCAACCGTCAAAATTATTTGTACACACTCCGAGATTGCATACGTAAAAAATCGTAAAAAACAAACATTCAGAGATTACGTAACGGAACAAAAGTTTTCGACGGTTACAAACAAAAAATCACAATTTAATGGTTATTTTAGCTCCGAATTTGATGATTTTTTACAGCTACACTCCTCGACCCTATAAGAATGTAATGAATAAATTTGATCTTTAATTTAAAATATTTACACTAGTGGATACCACAAAATCTTATTTTATTCTTAATGGAAGTATAACATTAACTCTAAGTGTTTGTTTAATCTACTGTTTTGATGTGATACGCATTCTAAGAAGCTTTTTTCAACGATCCAACCGTCAAAATTATTTGTACACACTCCGAGATTGCATACGTAAAAAATCGTAAAAAACAAACATTCAAATATTACGTAACGGAACAAAAGTTTTCGACGGTTACAAACAAAAAATCACAATTTAACGGTTATTTTAGCTCCGATTTTGATGATTTTTTACAGCTACACTCCTCGACCCTATAAGAATGTAATGAATAAATTTGATCTTTAATTTAAAATATTTACACTACTGGATACCACAAAATCTTACTTTATACTTAACAGAAGTATAATATTAACTAAGTGTTTGTTTAATCTACCGTTTTGACGCAATATGCATTCTACAAAACTTTTTTCAACGATCCAACCATCAAACTTATTTGTACACACTCCAAGATTGCATACGTCAAAAATCGTAAAAAACAAACATTCAAAGATTACGTAACGGAACAAATTTTTTCGACGGTTATAAAAGAAACATCACAATTTAATGGTTATTTTAGCTCCGATTTTGATGATTTTTTACAGCTACACTCCAGAACCCTATAAGAATGTAATGAATAAATTTGATCTTCAATTTAAAATATCTACACTAGTAGATACCACAAAATCTTATTTTATACTTAATAGAAGTATAATATTAACTAGTGTTTGTTTAATCTACAGTTTTGATGCAATATGCATTCTATGAAACTTTTTTCAACGATCCAACCGTCAAACTTATTTTTACACACTCCAAGATTGCATACGTAAAAAGTTGTAAAAAACAAACATTCAGAGATTAGGTAACGAAACAAAAAATTTCGATGATTATAAACAAAAAATCACAATTTAACGATTATTTTAGCTTCGATTTTGATGATTTTTTATAGCTACACTTCTCGATCTTCAATTTAAAATATTTGCACTAGTGGATAATTTTTTATACTTAATGGAACTATAACATTAACTCTTAAGTGTTTGTTAAATCTATCAATTTGATAGGATATGCATTCTACGAAACTAGTTTCAACGATTCAACCGTCAAATATGTTTGTCTATACTCTGAGATAGCATGTGTAAAAAATCGCCAAAAAAAAAAAACATTCAGAGATTAGGTAATGGGACCGTGAGTGAAAAAAAAAATATTCACACCATTTGTTTATTTATTTTTAATCAATGTAACATTTTAAAATAATAAAATAGTCAATTTCTGTCGGTTATAACCGGCAGAATACTAAAATAATAACCGCCAGAATCTAAAATAATAAAATAGTCAATTTATGTCGGTTATAACCGCCACAATTAACTTAGAAACCGTCAGAATAATTTAAAAATATTAAAAAAAAGAGAATTAAAAAATACTGAGGGTTATAATAATTTTATGGCGGTTAAATCCGCCAGGAAAAATCCGTCAGGACTTTATGTCAGATATATTCGACAGAAAGTAACTTTAATCCGACAGTAAATAAATTATGTGTCGGAAATCTTTTATCCGTCAGAATGACTTATTAACCGCCAGAATCGTCCGACACCTAAAGCTAATATTGTAGTAGTGCCGGCGTGTCCAGAATGCAATTTCACGGTTCACCGGAGATGATGTAGAAGCTGAGGTCTTTCACTCAGTGTAAATTCTTGATGTGATTTTACCACTACAACAATAATCCAGCCTTATTTCACCTGGAGTCGACTATATAATCATACAACGTCATTGCGCTAACTCTTCCGTTAGCTTCAAGTACTCCATATCCTTTTTTATAGTCTCCTTCAAATTCTTCCTAGTCTTTTTCTACACTTTTGTCACAAACCTCCGTGTCATAATCGTATATTTTAACCGAATCATGTAAGTCTTTAATTCACATGTCCAAACTATCATAACCGATTTTCTCTTGTATCGGATTTTTTATGCTTTTGCCATAACAGAATTAGGAAATCATATAAGTCTCCACCACAACAGAAATAGGAAAAATGGCACCGACACCAAGGCAATGATTGGTTGGGACTTCGACAGTGTAGACTGCAGTTGATAAGGAATAAACCACCTCAGCTGGCATAGCTGCAATGATCTATTAAACTCAGCATAATAAACTTGCCGCTTCTCTACAATATATGTTTTGCCTACCCGAAGAGAATCGGGCTTGAAATCAAACACTGTTAATTGTCTTCGGGTTGGCAAACATCACAATGCTTAAGCTAACCAAAGAGAATAATAGAAAGCAAAATAACAAACAAGGAATCGAGGGTAGAAGCAAAATAAGAGAAACACATTCCATACGACAACCCCATCAATTTTGCCTTTATATTCAAACTTGCATAAAAATTAGAAAACTCCAACAGGAAACAAGATAACACTTCTTATTCTGAACTCCAAACCATAACACTTGAAAAGCAAGCCTAGAGACACTCAACACTTTGGAAATTTGTAAACACGGGAATTCTTCTTGTCTTGGGTGCGAGGGGGCTCACTTCTTTATCTCATTTGCCTTGGTCTTGTAAACACGGGAATTCTTCTTGTCTTGGGTGCGCAGAGGCCCACTTCTCTTTGTCTCATTTGCCTTGGTCTTGGACGAGGTCTTGATGGGCGCAGAGGAGGTCTTGACGGGCATCTCACGGAAGACAAGGGTCTTGGAGTAGTTGACCTTGAGCTCATGGTGCGCGGAGGAGGTCTTGACGGGCTTCTCAGGGAAGACAAGGGTCTTGGAGTAGTTGACCTTGAACTCATGTTGCATCCATGGACGCTGGGCTGTGTCGTACTTGGACATGTAGGTCTAAACACAAAAACAATCACACAAATCACCAATCAAATCCGAAACCAAAAACCCTAAATCTGAAAACCCGACAAAATAACACAAAAACTTCAAGTAAATAACTCACCATGGGATCGGTGGTGATGAAGGGATCGTTGGCAGCCACAAGTTCAAAGGGATCGTTGGCAGCCACAAGTTCAAAGGGATCGTTGGCAGCCACAAGTAATCCTAAACCATTTCAATTCAAATCTCAATCAATTCACAGATCAAATCACAAAAGAACATACCAAAAATTAAAACTCAAGGAGCGATGGATCTGATCATCACCGTTGATTCCGATCTTGTTCTTCTTGCCAGATGTTGCTGATCGATACAAACAAGCACAACACACAAACGGTCAGAAAAACACAAAAAAATTACAGAAAAATCAACAACAAAAAAAAAAAACACAAGATCTGCAACAAAAATGGCGAAATCGAAATCAATAATTGAGAATCGAGATCAATAGATCAATACCCATGATGGTTGTAGAGAGAGAAAGTATTGTCTAGAGAGAGAGGCAGATAAGAAAGCTGATCGAGGGAAGGTAGTGTGAGAGAGAGAGCGAGTTAGAAATATATATAGGTGTAGCGCTTTGGAATATGCGGACGAATATGATGCCGTGGCGAAATTGAATTGGTAATGGCCTGAGAACTTGAGCTTCTAGGATTACCGGTTAGAATCAGGATTCTCTCCTGAACATTCCTTTTGTATTCTTTTTTGCTCTTTCTTTGTTTCTGTCATCACTGTTCATTCTACAGTAGAATGGCATTTTCGTCCCTGCCGTGCAACAGGATTCTTTTATTTCGGTTGCGCCTGAAATTGAAGGAGCAGAAAAACTGGATTGTTCGGGAGACTTCTTTCTTTTGATTTTGTCACCTGGCAGCTTAGCATAGTGACACGTGTTGATTGGGACGCGTGTCACTTTACCCATCTCTTTTTTCTCTGCTTTTACTTTGCTTTAGTTTTTTGTCTCCTCTTCCAAACTCCTCCATTTTCCATCGCCCTCTTCGATCTCTGCTTCGTGTTCTTCGATATTTGCTTCGTGATCTCTTCCATCTCTGCTTTCTCCGTGATTTCGTCTTTTCTGATCGACTTCTATTCGAATTGAAAACCTTCTAGATCTCTCTTCCCTAAATTTCAGCAGCAATTTTGCTCCAAATCTTTCCAATTGAAAAAACCCACATCATCATCATCTATTCCTCATCACCACAGGTACTTTCTACACCTATTATATGTCCAAATCTGTTCAAATATGTGATTTGATATAATTAGACTTCAGAAAAAAACTTGATTTTGTGGGTTAGAAAAAATTTTGCTAATTTTTTGGGTTCATCCTCATCACCATCGACGCGGGCAAAGCTTCCCAATTTGACCTCTTTCCAGATTTTTCTAACCCATCGTTTGGTTTCCGAGAAAAAATAATAATTTAATAAGAAATTTTTTTTTTGTTTTTTGCTTTGCTTTGCTTTGATGCAGAGATTAAAGGCACAGAAGGAACCGTGTGCGCCGAAGGGTTCTTCAACATTAAGATTCAGATACCCGAGGTTGGGTCAAGGATTTTGCCTCTGAACTCAATTCAGGTACACATAGTCTCTCTCTACTTTGATTCTCTCATTAGTTCTTCGCTTGGGCACCGACAAAGTGTCAAACATGAAATTATTGAATTAGTTCGCATGTTATTTTCCACTACCTGAGCAACTGACGGAAATCTAGGCCTGCCATATAACTAATTGACTTCAAATCTCATCAAACATCCTCATTTTTTTTTTTTTTATTTGTTGTTTGGTTTATCCACACCCCCCTCCATGTATTTTATTGACATTTTTAGTTGATCTGAAAAACATGACAAAAATCTTTACAATTACGATATGTTGTTTAACAAATGCATGTGTGCATTGTGCAATTGTGTGGTGTAGAGCGTAACATTTCATATACTTCTCTAAAAATTGGATTCTTATCGTTTCTCACAGGTGCCACACCCTCATATATCAGTAGCTTGGCCATTACCAAAAAAAAAAAAAAAAAAAAAAAAAAAAAAAAAACTGGCGCTTTTGCTTGCCACTCAGGTTTGTCTCGAAATTAGGTTGTTTTTTGTTCCGATTTTTGTCCTTCAGTCATGTTGTGTTTATCCGTTTAATTGTTGATACAGGGCTTGCAGAAAAATTGTGAAAAACTGCATTAAGGTACTCCCCCAATGAAATCGGCAATCACCTGTTCACCCAAGGTCTCCCCCTATTTCTCTTTCTCCTCACTTTCTCTCTAAAATCTTTATCCTTTTCAAATTTATTTGTCTAATCTTTTTAATTTGAAGTTTTCAGTCTTCTCTATTAATGCCAAATAAAAAAAAATAGTATTGGACTAAGACATAGTTGTACTAATGGATCTCTAATTCTAATAAATCTTGCATGTTGGCCGAAGTGACAATAGTCAGAGTTCCCCCTCTGTCTGTCTCTCTTAGTTTCTAATGAGACATAGCTGTATTAATGGGTCTCTGATCTTAATAAATTAAGGATTCTCAACCCATATATGATTTTAGTTTTGGGTTTTTCTTTTTTTGATAGCCAAGGTTAATTAATCCTTAATACCTATATTAATAAATTTTGTTATTAATTTGAGCACAAAAGTCCTAAATTATTTTCTAAATATAGGGAGAGATCTTTTTGCATTGTTTTAAAGGAGCATGAAAGTTCACTATTGTAGGCCTCATGTTCTGTTAAACCTTTTTTTTCCAGTTAGATCATAAGATATCAATCAAAGATCGATTTGATAAAAGCTAATGTTTAAAATTGTTTCTCTTCAAGTGTTTTCTAAATATGTTGCAATCTATTTATTTACAACTTTACCATAATCTTTTGGTAATTAAATTATAATAATCTGTGAGGACAATCTTATTGATTGGATTGCATGTTTGAGAATTTAGCTCTTTGTTTGCAATTTGAATTGCATGACTTTAAATGTATTCTATTTTCTTCAATTCCCAGCTTTGAATTCAGAAAGCAGTAGCTGCTACGGTTGAAATCCAATTGCATATCTTATTTCTACGCCTTTGTTTCATCCGTGGTTAGGTAAGGCTCAAATCTTTCAAATTTGTCTTTGTTTTGGATTGCATGTCTACATAAGGATTTAACATTTTGTAGTGTAGTTTCAATCATAAAAGATAATCAACTAAGGTTTTCTGAATCATTATTAGGGTTGGTTTTTGCATAATAGTTTCGAAATGTAACTTTTATGTGTTTGTTTTGGTTGATTGTAGATTACATATTGTCAAGTATTTAATAATTGACTTCTTTTCCTAGGGTTCTCAGCCCATTATCTGTTGTTTGGAGTTTAAACTTTTTTCAAGCCATGTTAACAAGGTCTAGAAATACCAAACTGAATAGAATGCTACGAGAAGGCCATATCGTTGGTTCTTCCAGTGGTATACAAGTTTGTGATAATCCAGGCTTTGAACCTCAGAACAAAAGACGAAAAGACGACCATATTGTTGGTTCTTCCAGTGGCATACAAGTTTGTGATAAACCAGGCTTTGAATCTGAAAACGAAAGACAAAAAAATGTTGACAATGTGTGTTCAACAAGTACAAACACAGTTCAAACCACTGTCAATGTCGATACATTTGATAATCCGAATCAAATTAGTAAAGGTCAAGCCAATTTTCAGAAAAATAAAAAAGGTAAACTATCTTTTTAACGTACAATTTCTTTGGGTTGGTTATGTATTTATGACTTTGCTTCTAATAGGTTGACTTTTTTTCCCCTTCTTTTTTCACCTTTTTTCAATAGGAAATGTTCAGAAATATGTGGATTTGGGAGACAAAAAGTATAAGTGCATCTATTGTGGTGCACTTTTTTGGATAAAAGAGTCTTTAAAGCAGAAGTCCAAGAATAATGAGCCCCTTTATTCTCTTTGTTGCCAACAAGGAAAAGTCAAGCTCCCACGTCCAATGCTTACTCCTCACTTTTTAGAAAATTTGCTTGACCCAACGAAAGGCCAAACAAGCTTATTGTTTAGAGAGAACATTAGAGCTTATAATTCAATGTTTGCATTTACTTCAATGGGAGCTAAAGTTGATCACACGGTTAACAATCAGTTAGGCCCGTACATTTTTAAAATTAGTGGTCAAGTGCATCATTTAATGGGCTCTTTGTTACCCCCTGATGGTGAATGCCCAAAGTTTGCTCAACTATATGTGTATGATACTGCTAATGAAATTGGAAATCGTTTCAATGCTATTAATTGTAAGGAAACAAATATGAAGCTTGATGAGAATATTGTCAAGGGTCTGATCAACATGTTCAATGAATCAAATGAATTGGTTCAAGTGTTTCGAACAATTAGAGATAAATTTGAAAACAATTCTCTCCCTTCTTTGAAAATAACTATATTGGGTAGGCAGTTAAATGATGATAAACAATATGGACAGCCTACATGTGATGAAATCGCTAGTTTAATAGTGGGTGATATTGGTCAATTTGACTCAAATAGAGATATTGTCATAGAGTTTAAAGATGGTGAACTAAAACGTGTGACAAAATTAAATCCAAAATTTATGTCTTTACAATATCCCATTCTTTTTCCATATGGTGAAGATGGATACAGACTTGATTTGAAATTGAATATCCCCTCAAACAATCGCCCATGTAAAAGAGGCAGAGTAACTATGAGAGCATTTATAGCCTATCAAATTCAAGAAAGGGAGTCTCAATTAGATACATTGTTAAAAGGAGGAAGACTTTTTCAACAATTTTTGGTAGATGCTTATGCAACACTTGAAGAGGATCGATTGGATTATATTAGAAAAAACCAAAAAAGCTTACGAAGTGAGGTGTATAAAGGCATTTATGACGCTGTATCAAAAGATGATCATGATGCTGATAACATAGGCAAGAAAGTAATATTACCTAGCTCATACACAGGAAGCCTTAGATATATGCTTAACAACTATCAAGATGCGATGGCTATTTGTAGACAATTTGGTAATCCTGATTTGTTCATAACCTTCACTTGCAATATCAAATGGCCTGAAATTGTGAGAGAATTTGATATAAAACTTGGATACAAGTTAGAGGATAGACCGTATATCATTTCTAGGGTTTTTAAGATGAAACTTGATGATATGATTAGCTACATAAAATCAGGAGAACCTTTTGGAGAAGTTGAAGCAGGTGAGTTTAAATTTTTTTTTTTTCTCAGTTTCTTTCATTTTATCTTTACAATGAAACTGACTATGATTTATATATTTCCTAACTTGATTGCAAACAGATGTTTGTACAATCGAGTTTCAGAAAGAGGGTTGCCTCACGCTCACATCTTAATTTGGTTAAAGAAGCCTTACAAATGCTACTCTGCTGATGACATAGATTCCATCATTTCAACTGAAATACCAAATAAAAATTCAGATCCTCTCCTTTATGAAATTGTGAACCAATTCATGATTCATGGTCCTTGCGGACAACTTAATCAAAAGTCTCCATGCATGCGAGAGGGAAAATGTTCTAAGTTTTTCCCAAAGCAATACAAAAGTGAAACAATTTTTGAAACAAATATTTTTCCTATGTATAGGCGTCGTGATGATTAGTCAAAATTTATGGTTAAAAATGGGATGCAAATAGATAATGGTTTTGTTGTACCTTACAATTCAAATTTATTATTGAGATACAATGCTCATATAAATGTTGAGTCATGTTGCCAATCAATACTTATAAAATATCTTTTCAAATACATAAACAAAGGTTCAGATCGAGCAAGAATTGTTTTTGAAGAGAATTCAAACAATGAAATACGTGCTTATCTAAATTGTAGATATATATCTCCATACGAAGCTGTTTGGAGATTGTTTGAGTATCCAATTCATATGAGAGAACCTCATGTTGAATGATTGCCAGTACATCTTCCTTTGGAACAAACTATTGTTTTCAATAGTAATCAATCCCTTGAATCAATTGTTAGTCAAGAAGCTTCTGAACACACAATGTTGACAAGTTGGTTTGAAATAAATAAATTTTTTCTTGAAGCGCGAACACTAACTTATGCAGAATTGCCATCAAAGTTTGTTTGGGAATCTCGACATAAGATTTGGAAGCCTATGAAAAGAAAAGGAGGATCCATAGGCAGAATTGCCTACGTGCATCCTGCATCAGGTGAGTTATACTATTTAAGAATGCTTCTTAATATTAAAAAAGGTGTTCTCAATTTTGATGACATTAGAACTGTGAACGGCATTATTCAACCATCGTATCAAGCTGCATGTAAATGTTTGAGTTTACTAGGGGATGACAAAGAGTGGATTGAAGCTTTAGGAAATGCAGTTAATATTGCAACATCTCGCGAGTTGAGACAATTATTTGTTACAATGATTTTATTTTGTGAAATAGCAAATCCTCAACAGCTTTTTAATAGTCATTGGCAATATATGTGTGATGACATTTTGTATGAGCTTCGAAAATCTTTTGCAATGTCAACTCTGAATTTATCAGAATTGGAATTAAAAAACTCTCTTCTATTTGAATTAGAGCAACTATTTAATGCATCATCTAGCTCTTTAAAAGATCATAATTTGCCTATGCCTGATGAAAGAAAAATGTCAGAAATTAGAAACAAATTGTTGAGGGAAGAATTAAATTACAATTGTGATGATTTAAGTCGAGAACATTCTGTTTTGGTAACACAGCTTAATGAAACCCAAAAATTTGTCTATGATTGTGTTATTAGTATTGTGAATGAAAAAAGGTCAGGTCTCTTTTTTGTTTATGGCCATGGAGGAACTGGAAAAACATTTTTATGGCATACAATAATAAGTAAAATCAGGTCTGAGGGTAAAATTGTTTTAGCAGTTGCTTCATCTGGAATAGCTTCATTACTTTTACTAGGTGGTAGAACTGCTCACTCCAGATTCAAAATTCCTCTCATAGTTACAAATTGCTCAACATGTCAAATTAAGAAAGGGACTCATCTTGCTAAATTAATTGAAAAAACAGATCTTATTATTTGGGATGAAGCTCCTATGAATCATAAGCATTGTTTTGAAGCATTAGACAAGTCACTTTCTGATATTTTTTCACATTCAAATGATTCAAATAAAAATGCTCCATTTGGTGGCAAACCTTTTTTATTAGGCGGTGACTTTAGACAAATTTTACCAGTTATTCCTGGTGGAACAAAAGAACAGATAATAGATGCCTCTTTAAATAACTCTTATTTATGGCCTTTTTTCAAAGTATTTCAGTTGAAGGAAAATATGAGGCTTTCACAAAAGGGATTAAATAATGATCAAAAGAAAAAACTTGCTAATTTTGCATCTTGGATTTTACAGATAGGTGATGGCCAAATTGGAGATACACTTGATTCAAATGATAAAGATACATGTTGGATTGAAATTCCAGATGATTTACTCATTCATTCATACTCTGATCCTATTCATTCTATTTTTTCAGCAACTTATCCAGACTTTGAAAATAATTTTGCCAGTTTTGAATATTTACGAGAGCGAGCTATTGTTACACCAAAAAATGATATTGTAGTGGAGATAAATGATTATGCAATAGATTTGTTACTTGGTCAAAAACACGTTTATTTAAGCTCTGATTCTTTATACTCATCTACTGGAAATTTTGAGAATCTTAGTATAATGTATCCTACAGAATTTCTCAACACACTTGATTTCAATGGCTTGCCTTCGCACAACTTAATTTTAAAGATTGGAATGCCTATTATGTTGCTCCGAAACTTAAACCAATCTTTAGGTTTGTGTAATGGAACAAGATTGGTTGTGACTCAATTATTTGATAGAATTATTGAAGCTAGAATACTTGCTGGCAGCAACATTAATTACAAAGTTTTCATTCCTTAAATAATCTTGACAGCAACTGAAAACAAATGGCCTTTTGTACTTAAAAGACGTCAATTTCCAATAAGACCATGTTATGCAATGACAATTAACAAAAGTCAGGGACAATCATTGAAACAAGTGGGACTCTATTTACCACAACCTATCTTCACTCATGGTCAATTATATGTTGCATTATCTAGAGTCATATCAAGAGAGGGTCTCAAAGTTTTAATTACTAACAACAATGAAATGCCAAATACATTTACAAAAAATATAGTTTACAAAGATGTTCTGCAAAATTTAACAACAGGTTGTAGCTTGCATACATCTGCAATTAAAAACTTACATACTATACATTTTGATATATAGACACTTTTTTCCTAACAATATGTATATTTTGCTTGCAGATTTACAAGACAATGAGCATCGTGCCAATTTGTAGCAGGAGTCACTCACCAAGACATTGCAGGGCACGGGTGTACAATTCGGACTCGGTCATGGGGTTTCTTAAGGTAGACTGTTATCAAGTTTGAATTTTCTAATTTTCTTTCTGCAAATTATTTTTTATTTTTGGAATTGCAATTGTATAATCGGATAAGAAAACTAGAAAATATGTTCGATTAGAACAAATAATTTTAATCATATCTTTCATTTATTTTTGGATTCTATCTTGGTATCATGTTGAGTGTTAGTCTTATCTTTAAACTTTATGTGCTGCTGAGTTTGTTAAACTCTAACCGTAATTGTAGGTTGATTTGGACCTGGGCAACTATGAACGCTTCCTAGATGTGACTCTTACTAGGGGTAACAACATTACCACTGGCAAGATATATCAGGTGCTTCTAACTCGATTTTGACTTCCTTTGTGGTATGCATCATTTCCTAATTTTGACTTCGAACTTAATCTTACTTATAGTTTTTAGTTTTTGACAAAGATGTAAATGTAATAACTGAGGTTTGTAATAGGGAGGGAGACACCATCAGTTGCTGGAATCATTAACCCCGGTTCTGAGGGATTTCAAAAGCTATTTTTCAGTTAAGAGGAAATCACCATACCAGTGCACTCAAAGTAAGTCGCCATTCTCTCATCCTCTTCCTAGATTTCGACTTTCGTGGCTGCAAGCCACCTTTTGTATATTTATGTATATGCATGTATGCTTGGTTAATCTTAATTTTCCATATCCAATATATTCAAATCATGTTATTAGTCAGATTACCATTCTTGATCTGTTGTTTCGAGATTGTTTAACCTTTGGGTTGATAACTGTTACAGCATTGAAGCATCATGCGCCGCACATCCTACTGCTGATGTCTTAATCAACTTCGCTTCATACAGAAGGTCGGTGATTATTTTATGAGTAGTGTTTTGGAGTGCGAAACTTCTATGGTTGTACCTAACGATGAATGTATGTTGAAAAACAAAGTCAAAGATAAGTTGACGGGTTTGAGAGAAAGCAAAGGTGAGATTAATTGGAATTAGGCCATTCACTAGAATGGATATATTCTTATGTGTATTTGGAATACAAAGTAGTATAATACTAGCATTGGCACCCCCGCGATGCTGCGGGTATTTAAATAGGCATACAACATGTAGAAAGTTATATTTGAAACTTTGCTTAACTCAATTTATTTACAACTCTACGTAACTCAAGGAATAGATAAAAGTTTGTTTCCAATAGATCAACGCTTGAAGTTGCAAGAAAAATAAAAGAATCAATTTATGAGCAGTTGGAAGAATCATTATTTGTAAAAAATTTGTTGATTCAAATATAAACAAATGAAACTGACTGTAAAAGAAAGGCTTACCGAATGTTGCTCCAAACTGAGTTCTAAAAGAGTGTAATTGTGGAAATTCAATGCAACGCTCTGTTGAAGAGATATAAAAAGTAGATCACAAAATATTTACATCACCGTAAACAAAGATGTTGGAAGTTGTTTATACATAAAATATTAAACTTGTACAATCCTAAAACAAAAGATTGAAACCTGTTTACAGATAGACAAAAAACAATATAGTGATTGATTGGATTCTACCACTTGCATCTACCTCTCAAGTGGAACCAGCATTTATATACAAAAAATTAATGAATGCTGGTATACATGCAAAAAATATTATGAAGTTCAGACCAAAGAGACATTTACATGGCAGGCAAATATTATCAATATTGTTTGATACAAAATAACAAAAAACGGTTAATGCGTTTCACTATTGGAGATAGAGTTTTGGCACCGCATCGTTCATCCATAAGCAAGCAAGCTAGGGAAAAGAAATAAAATAATACAGTTAGATGGATATTAGATATATATCAAAATAAATGAGAGAAAAAGGACATACCTGAAGCACAACCAGCATGTAAATGCGAACACAATAGCTGGGAGAACGAACATCACCGTTTCCTGAAAATACAAAACACAACTAAATCATACACTCATAATTACAACCACGACACAAACAAAAACAAACAAAAAAAAAAACACAAAACACCGTTACGTAAAAATAAAATGAGAATCAAACCACATAGTCACTTAGAATCCCAACACAAAAAGAAAACCCTACTAATCTATAAGTCTCACCCCCATAAAAAATCCAAAGGAAATAGTTAACTCTAAACCTTCAAAATCAGCTAAACCCAAATTCAAACAAAAAACCTAACTTTAAATACAAAATTAAAAACAAAAAAGGGCAACCAACTTGAAACCTTCAAAATCAACTAAACCCAAATTCAAACAAAAGGCCTATCTCTAAATACAAAATTAAGAAAAATAGGCAAAAGATAGAAGCAGAAAAACGAATGGAAAAAGTGAACAAAGAGAGGAGTGAAAACGAAACAAAAAGGGTAAAATCCTCTCAACAACAGAAACACTACCGATGATCAACACGTGGTCTGCTCTACCCAATATAAGTATATGTACATTTTTTTTTCTCCCACCTTGCACTTCGCATTTATTATCTTTTTTTTCTGCTCTACTGAGTTTCCGAAAAAGATATAAAAAAAAGGACGGAAGGTGACTGTTCATAAACAGTGTCACATCATGACCTATCACTTCTTTTCTGTCCTAGCCAATATATTTTACTTTTTTTTTCTGCCAGTTCTGACCTCTGACTTTTACATTGAACCTTCATTACTTACTACCACAGCCATCTATATGTATATATAAATATATATTTCTGCCACTTTTATTTATTATCTCTTTTTTGAGAAATGAGCCTTTATCACTACCAGGACCTATTAAAATCTCTAATCTGGAAAAAAAAAAAACAAACAAAAAAGTAACCAATCCCAATATAAATAAATAGAAAGAAAAAAATAAGTCACCAATCACAATTGATTACCTCAGATAGTCTATTTCACATTCTTATACATGACAAACCAAAAAAAATTCAAAACATATATATAATCTCAAACAGGTGGTAAGCACTGACAACAGGAAATAAAACCAAATACCACATCAATCCAAAACCCAAATTTTATTTCATTTTCTTCGCATCAGATCCCCAAATCAAAATGGATCTGACCCCAGAAGAGCTCCAATTTCTCAACATCCCAGATCAATTAAAAAAATTAAATAGATTTAAATTCGGATATAGGAAACAATGAATGAAAGAAATCATATAAGAAATATACAGACACTACAGAGATCATTTAATATAAAAAATCAAGATGCTCAGAGACACAACACAGACACTATTCATACTAAGAATTCTTAGATACCTGTTGAAATTAATTAAATAAAAAAATTTCAGGGCAGCCAATTTATACCTCCGATATTGGTCCTTCACAGACTTTGCCGAGTACAAACTGCAAACATAAACACTACCCATTATACCTTTTTCAGATGGATTTTAGAGAGAGGCGAGAGAGAGATTAGGGTTTAAGAGCAATAACAAAAACTAATTTTATGTTGAGATAACCCAGTGAAGCAGTTGTGGTAGGCGTCTCTCAGATTTGCACAGGGAGAAGCGAAAGAAGAAGAAGGTAGAGAGGGGGTGGTCGATAGCTTACCCGGCGTTTGAGAGTGACAGAAGGCAAGTTGAGAGCAAAGGAAGCAGAGATTTGCGAAAGAGAGAACTGGAAACGGATGGAAAAATCGAGAAGCTGCAGTCGAAGTAGAGGTTCAGACGATGATGGACGCGTGGCCAACTTGGACAAATGCGTAATTTCACTATGCCAAGACTGAAAAACAACGGGGCAAGGAAAGTTGAATGAGGGCAATTCCGCCATTTTACTGCTGGTAAACAGTGCTTTTCCACCGGGTTTTAGTATATAGATAGGGTTGTGATTTTCACACACCCTTAATTACCTTTCCCACACCATTTCTTATTTTTTTAATACTTAATTGATATCTTACTATTTACTCTTCCATATATACCCTTTTTACTTTTTGACTTTTAAAAGTTGTTTTTTTTTTTTATTTACTTGAAACTCCCCTGCTTTTTCCCTTGCTTTCTCCTGCTTCTTCCCCAAAACCCAGACACCTCCTGCTTTTTCCCCAAACCCAGACACCTCTCGCAGCCCGATTCCCTCGCCGCTGCAAATATTTCCACTGCTTCTTCGAAGCCTCCCACTCCCTCCGCCGAGCCCAACGAGACCTATTCTGAAATATTTCCGTTCCCCTGTCCTCTTTATTACTTCTTGTGAAAAACCACAATGGATGACTTGATAATAACAGATAAAGAACTCCAGATGGACATTGAGTTGCAGAAGATATTGGATATGGCATGCAAGGAGGATGGCATGGAAGAAATTTCAGAATGCATTCCTCCTCTTAACACTTTTGATGGTAATTTTCTAAAGTATTTTCTCAAATTATTAAGATTGATTTTGGAATTTAGGGTTTTTGTTCTCTTCTTGCCTCAATTTGTTTTTTAGGTTTAGTTTTTTCTTTCCCTAATTTGTGGTTCAAATGATAATTGAATGAATGAATACTGGTGGTTTAAGATAAATGTATCATGTAACAATGAAGTAACTAAATCCAGGGGAAGAAATTTAGAAAAATGCGTCAAGTAAACAAAAAATCACGAAACTAAGTTTGTAAATGTTTTTGACATCAGAATTTTTTTTACAAGAATAACAAAAAATTAGGCAATGCTCAGAGACTAAGGAGCAAAAGATTAAAAACTACCATGCTTACTTGAATGCACCGGGCAATGCTCTATAACATATTTTTCTCTCATGTACACGGTACACATGCTATTTACACATCTAGATAAGAACCGTTAGATTGAAAATGAACAGACGAGATAAAAAGTATGATTGATATATTTTTTTTGTTTGAAATCTCTAACTTAAATTCTTGGTGTCTTTTGCCCAAAACAAAATCTCGGTGTCAACTCTGTAATCCAAACACTTGAACTTCAAATGAAGCAAAAAATTACCTATTCCTCATAAAAACTGGAGCAAAAATGTACTTTAACTATTGGTTTCTGTTGGGGTTTATAAAAACTGGAGCAAAAATGTACTTTTGCCCAAAACAAAAACTGGTGTCAACTCTGTACTCATAAAAACGGAAATAATAGAGAATATCGATTTGTGTTGGTTTTGGGGAAATTAATTTTCTATTGGAATCTATTGGTCCCCAATACACTTTAACTTAATGGTAAATTGGTATTAGGTTTAATTGTTGTGGTTTTACCTAGGCTCCATGTTTTGGTGTAAACTTGATATAATGCATACAATGCTTTGGTATAAATTTGATACTTAAATGTCTAGTCCATTGATAAAAAGTATATATTCTACATATATAAATGTGTTGGTTTGTGATATATAGGAAGTCAACCAACGATTGATGAGCCCGATAAAATGCTCTCTTTGTTGGCGAAATGTTTTGAAAGTCGAGAAGACCTCATCGGGGAAGTTCGTAAGATAGCATTAATGCAAGGGTTTGCAACCGTTATTAGAAGATCTAAGACAAATACATATGTTGCTATTGGTTGTGATAGAGGTGGGTATTATCGAGCCTCTAAAACTTCACTAGATGAAAGAAAAAAAAACTCAGGATCTCGCCTCATAAATTGTCCATTTGAAATCAAGGGGCGTAAAAAGAAATGTGAAGAATTTTGGAAGCTAGAGATAAAAAGTTTATTGCATAACCATGAACTTTCAAATGACATGTGTGGACATCCTTCTTGTCGTCAATTTTCACAAGAGGAAATCTTACGAATTAAAGAAATGAGTAAGGCTGGTATACCACCACGCCAAATTCTATCTTTGCTTCGGCAAGGCAATCCTCATCTTCAAGTAGTTTCTCGAAACATCTATAATCTAAGAGCTAAGATTGTGAAGGAGAGTCTAGCTGGGCGTCCAGTTATTCAAGCATTATTAGAAGAACTTGGTGAAGGTGGTTTCACTTATAACATTGAGTATGATCATGAAGGCCACTTAACTCATTTGATCTTTGCTCATCCCTTGTCTATAGAGTTGACCAAGAGCTACCCATATGTTTTTGTGATGGATTGCACATATAAGACCAACAAGTATAAGATGCCATTATTGGATATCATAGGAGTTTCAAGTTTCAACACATCCTTTTATTCTTGTTTTGTTTTCATGCAAAATGAGAAAGAAGAGGATTATGTGTGGGCTCTAAAAATGTTTAGTAAGATTTTGGGAGTTGATAATCATCTTATGGTGATTATAACAGATAGGGAGTTGGCATTAATGAATGCTATACGCATTGTCTTTCCGAGTACTTCCAATCTTTTGTGCGTGTGGCATATTGAGAAAAATATACTTGCAAATTGTAAAGCTCATTTTGAGGAAGAAGTTGATTGGATTGATTTCATTTCTACTTGGACAATTTTAATCCAATCTCCTAATGAAACATCATTCAATGAAGCTTGGAGTCGTTTTGAAGTTAAGTACGAGGAGAAGAAATTTGTTTTGAAATATATTCTTGGTACTTGGCTTCCATACAAAGAAAAGTTTGTAAGTGCATGGTCAGAGAAAGTTACCCACTTTGGTAACCGTGTTACTTCAAGAGCCGAAGGTGCACATGCAACGCTAAAAAAATATCTTCAAGTTTCAACTGGAGGTCTTCGCGAGGTAAAAGAAAAAATATGCCTTGCTATTGAAAATCAATTTCAAGAATCAAAACTCAACATTCAAGTGAAAAAGTTAGAGTTTCACACAAGTTTCGACTTCCCTTCTTCAAAGAGGTTGTTACTCATGTATCTAGATTTGCATTGAATGAGTTATATAATCAATATGAAGCATCAAGTTCTTCTGATCTTCCATGTCAATGTAAGGGTCATTTTCTCAAGACAATGGGTCTTCCTTGTGCTCACATGATTAGAGAGATGAATATTGAAGTCTTGCAACTAAATGACATACATCCACAATGGAGGATTGATAGAAGATTGTTTGTCAATGATCATCATGTAAGCTTGGACAATGAACAAGATCAAATAAGCGGCCTTCTATTGGAGTTTAAAGATAAGTATGAAAAGTTGACTCTTACTCAAAAAGAGGATACCAAAAGGCAACTTTGTGAATTTATTGATACTTCTCTTCCATTAACTCTTGAGCCTAATGTTAAACCTCACAAAGGTCGTCCAATGGGTTCTAAAAATAGAAAAGAATCAAGCTCTACAAAGCATGGTCCTTCAAAGTTTGAAATAGTGGAGAAGGCTCAGAAACGTGCTCGACGGGTATGTCATTTTTTTATTTATCTTTTAATATTGTCTACTATGGTCATGATTATTTATATATACGTATAACTTAATGTTCATTGTTTATAGGTGTGATGAGCATAATGATTTGCCAAAGAAACTTTTTGTTAATAATAGCTTAGATGTGTAAAGAACACATTAAGGTACATATATTTTTGTTGATTTTTCCCCATAAAAATACTAATTAAGTTTGTAATTTTCTTTCCTTTTGTTGACATGTTTTTATTTTCTTGTAGGTTGGAGTGCATGGGTTTCATATCTTTTTGGTAATATTGACATCTCCTTTTGAACACAAGATTAAAGGCCAAACATAGTGTAGGCAGAATGTGAAAGCTTGTAATGATATCTGATGTATTTTTTGGGGCATGAGGCTACTATTATGGGGATTCAAGTGTATGTGGATTGCTTACTAGTATTTTGTACAATTCATGTAACTTATGCATATATGCTATATCATTAGGTAATCGTTTTATTTTTATTTATATAATAGGTGTTTTATACTTGTTTTGGGATCTCTCAGATTAGGCAGTAGAACTTGAGTTACAAATGGCATATATGGTTGAGTGTTAGAAAAAGAAAAAAACAAGTTTAAAATAAAATAACAAAAGTTTCAATGGTCAAAAAGTAAAAAGGGTATATATGGAAGAGTAAATAGTAAGATATCAATTAAGTATTAAAAAATAAGAAGGGGTGTGGGAAAGGTAATTAAGGGTGTGTGAAAATCACAACCCTATAGATAATGTGATATATGTGGTTTATACTTTCTATACTTTTTCTTATGTCTTTTTATGCCTTGGTCCAATTACCTTTTGAATTCAATCTGTTTTTTTAGAAACTTGGTTGCAAGAAAAAAGTTGGAAGGGCAACATAATTGGAAAATTGGGTTACAACAATCACCCTTTAAACTGCAGAGAAGTCTTCATTTGAAGTTCTTTTCGACTGGGATGAGAAGATTGGAGTCCCGAGAGCATTCATAATTAGAAATGAGCATCAGAGTGAGTTTTATTTGAGTTGATAACTGACCTTTATGTGCATTTTTGGTTTGGCTCTTATTTGAAATATTTTTCTAATTGTGATCATTGTGCCTCATGTTTTGTTAGGATTTTGATATTCTAATTTCTTTGTATAAGATTAGTGTATGTGTTAGGAATTTCGGGTTTAGTCATTTTTGTATACTATCACAAGATATGTGCTTGCACTTGCTAATCTTTTTTGCTATGTTTGTATAAATATGATATTGATGTGGTTATAAGAAATAAGAAAGTGACTTCAAATGCCCATTTCATTTGAGTCTTATCTTTTCCGTCTGAATATTAATAATCAGATCAAATTCTTTGACCTAAGCCGTAAATTTTGTGGGTTGAAAAAAAAAACACTGAATTATGTGAAGTGGAATGAAACCATAGGTTTTTGTAATACATTTGGAAATGAACATTATTATGCTTTTGTAATATGATGCTCTCTTAATTTTATTATGTAATTTGTTTCTGTAATACGATGATCTCTTAACTTGCTTTTGCAGATCTTCTTTGGTTCCTATGCTAGCTTTGTGTGTCTCCATCTCCAAATAATTTAGTTGAAAATCACTAATACGCATGCAAATTTGAAAGGGTTTTGATCTTTCGATGAGTTTAAAATGTTTGTTGGTGGTTGGTTGTATTGCTGTCAAATATTTGTTGGATAGTTTGGAACGGAGAAGTTGGTTGATTTAGAGAAACTGAATACACATGGAATTTGGAAGAGTTTTTGGTCTTATATTGGTTTAAACTACTTTTTTGACAATGAGTACTGGAGGGAACTTTTGGTGTTCCATTGAACAATTTTTGTCATATTTTATCAATGTAAATGACACAATATTTCTTAACGTTTTTTGCATGTAAATAGCCCAAAGTTCCATAACCTTTTGTATGTAAGTACTGCTGTTGATCGAAAATCACAAAAACTACCCAAGTGGAATGTGTTGATCTAATATGCTATGTACATAGATAGCCAAAACTTCTACAATTTTATGTGGAGTATCAATTAAATATAGCAATGAATTGTATTAATCTTTTATGACACAATTTTATATATCTTTCAAACATAATGCTTTTTACATTTATTAATCCCGCAACAACGTGCGGGCAATAATTTCTAGTATTAAACTATTTGATTAGATGTAGCAAAAACAAATTTTCCTCGAGCAATTAACAAATCAAATAAAGCAAGTAACCAATTAAATAATAACGAATATAACACCTTTTGAAATTGATTTAACAATGCTATCAAAGTTAATGGTTTTTATTTTATTTTATTTTTTTAAGAAAAGCGACTAGCTGGAGGCTTCGCTATAAGAGTCTACTTTTTCAAAGGTTAGGAAGACGTGCATAAGCATTTTAGTCTTTCCATGACCATCATCGTGTAATCCGCGAGCAACAAGAATTGAACTCATAAAGTGCTGTGTGCAATAATTTGAAATTCGTCTCAACCACTGAATCACCTCATGGTAGCTTTATCGAAGTTGATGTCGAAGTTGGAACTTGGAACACACTATAAAGGGCACAATTCTGCTGCAAAGCAAACTCCACAAGAGAATTTTGAAAGATTGTTGTTGTCATGCCTTACCCATGGATGATGATGCATCAACTCACTCTGCCCACACATTAATTCTTAAAAAACCACAACCATTGCGAATTGACCTTTAAACTTTATCAAATAACTACTAGTCTTATATACGGTATTCGCAATCATCCATTCCAAAGTTGGAATAATTTATATACGAGACAATACGTATTTTGACTGTCCCAATATCATGTTTATTTTCTTACTCACAACTCAATTTTAATATTCGTCTCTATTAGAAAAATGATGATGACTCAATAATTGAATCATCATGATAGTGTTAATTTTTATCATAATTGTGATTTATTTTATACATCAGGTTGACTAAACAAATCTTTATTTTAATTGACTATTACAATAATTAAGGGAAGAAGAGAATTCCGAGCCCGGGATGGATGGGGGGAAACGAAATACTCTATCCACTAGAACATAAGTATTATTCTAAATGATAGATTGGAAAGAAAAAAAAGGTAATAAAAAATTTACGAGTAAGTGATGGATTACTGGTGATTATAGTATGTTTTTATGAAGTGGATTTGGACTTCGACCTATATATTCTGACTTTTATAAATTTTAAAAAATTTGGTGGGTAAAAGTTTGACATCATTCCTCCTGCATGGGCAATGCTTTGCCACAATCGTGCTGTCAAATTATTCTTGGTAAAAATAATAATAAGTTTCAAATTCAATAGTCTTTCAACACAGAAAATAAAATACCTAAATATATAGCTAGGCGTGCATGAAACATCACCAACAACCAGGTAGAGGCGTCGATTGACGACCGATTGGTAGGGAAGCATTTGATGAAGTTATGAATCTGTGCGGTTGATGAGAGAGAGAAAGAGAGCTTGATTTGGATTGTAAGAAAAATGATTCTCATTACATTTTCTGATTTCTTATTACACAAGGATATATACATCAATAATAATATCCTATTCAATGCTGAGTTAGCAATACATAACCGACTATATCAAACTTAGCTTAATAGCTAAGCTAAGTACTAATCTAGTGCCTTATGTGCATTACAATCTGGTGGTCCTTCATTATCCTTAATATAACTCCCAAGTACCAGTGGATTGAAGTGCTTGATATTCATCTGTCATGGCTTTTACCCAAGCAGGATGCTTGGAGGCTTGAAGATAAGTGGTAGGGGTCGGAGGGATGATGGTGAGTGGATCAACTGAAGGGGAGAGAGGATGCTTAGTGGCTGTAAAGATCTTAGGCTTAGAAATACCTGCTTTGGCTCGGGTAATCATAGGATGTTGGTTGGCTGGGATAGTTGTAGGAGGGGGGACACGAGATGAAGAAGAGGGAGGAGGGAGGGGTACTGGTGAGGAGATAGGGGAAGATGAGGGATTATTTATAATGGGATGAGGGGTTGGAGTAGGATGAATAGGTATAGTAAGAGAAATAGGGTGAGAGAATGGAGGAGAAGAAATAGAAGGAGGGGATACAGTAGGAAAAGGTAAATTGGGAGAGTGCTTGAAAGGGAAAAGAGTTTCATCAAACACCACATGTCTCGAAATATATAACCTGTTAGTAACCGGATCAAGACAACGGTAACCACTGTGATTCAAGCTATATCCCAAGAACACACAAAGTTTACTCTTTGGATCCAACTTACTGGATGAGTAAGGTTGGAGCCATGGATAGCATGCACACCCAAAGGTCTTCAAGAGGTGATATTGAGGTGTAGCTTTGAAGAGTAATTCCCAAGGACTAATAGAAGAAGCCTGAGGTGGGAGGCGATTGATGAGGTATACTGCAGTTTGAAAAGCCTCAATCCAGTACTGAGATGGTAAGCCACTGTGAGATAATAAAGTTCGACCCATTTCAACCACATGTCGATGTTTGCGTTCCGCACATCCATTCTGCTCAGGAGTGTGAGGACAACTCAATTGATGAGTTATGCCTTGAATATTAAAGAAGCTTTGCAAAGTAGCACTTAAGAACTCACCCCCTGAATCAGATCTCAAACGTTGAACTTTACTGTCGAAAAGAGTTTGAACTTTGAGAACAAAAGTCTGAAGAACAGAACACACATCGGATTTATAATGCAGTGGATAGAGCCATCTATATTTAGTGAAATCATCAACTAGTATTAGGTAATAGCGATATCCAGTACAAGAAGAGGTGGGGGAAGGACCCCATACATCAACATGAACAAGATGAAATGGCTGAGTAGAACTACAAGGCAAAACAGAAAATTGCAATCTTGAGGCCTTCCCAAATTGACAATCAGAACAAACAGACTTCTGAGAATGTGAACCAGCAACATACAAGTGACCTTTATTTACTATTTTATTGAAAACTAGACTTGAAGGATGACCAAGTCGTCTGTGCCATGTAGTGATATCAGCTTTAGCAATCATTAAAGCATGAGGTGAAATAGCAATGCCAGAAACACCATTAGAAGCATGCCAGTAGAAAGGGTACAATCTTCCTTCACTGGGGCCCTGGAAAAACATCCTCCTAGTTCTTAGATCCTTGATGTAGAATCCAAAGGGATCAAAAGTCAGCGAGCACCAGTTGTCATACACAAATTTATAAACGGACAGGAGATTATGAGAGGCTTGAGGAACTAATAACACATCACAAAGTTTGAACACAGCATTAAGAGTACGTATTAAAGCATTTCCAGTATGAGAAATACACAAACCTTTGCCATCACCAACGAAAAGTTGGTATGTGCCAGTGTATGGTGTTGCAGAGTTTAGAGAGGCTGGATCATGAGTAACATGATGAGTCGCTCCACTGTCAGTAATCCAGTAGCTTGGAGGATGGGATGCAGTCAGAGCATTGAAACCCATGGGAGGGGAACGGTGAGAAGCAAACTGGGAGAGAGAGCCACAGTAAAGAGCAGAGTGACCATATTGATTACA